CTGCTGAGTGCATGTGTAAAATAATTCCAGTGGACAGTAGTTTCAAACAAATATGGTTTAAAAATTTCTTGTCCTTTTTAGCTTCTCTCATATTGTTTGACCTGACCTGTTTATTGGGATTGTTCAGAGACCGTGCCAGCTATGTCTGATCTATTTGCCAGCTATCAATTTGTACCTAAACTTCAGAAGCAAACCAAATGTATTGGTGTGGAAATAATCAGTTTGACCTATCTGTTTGGATTTTTTCCAATTACAAGGAGAACCAATAGCATCAGAAGAGTTGTGAAGCAGCAACAAAAAAAAGCTAGTAGCTGACTAAAAGAGAATCTGACCTGTTTTATTATCAGATCTGTTTGTTCTACAGCTTCTAGAAGAGCATTCAAAGCAGACAACACTTTTAAGCAGTACCTGAAAGCAAGGACTTGGTTTCAGGTGACTGGCTGAGTGGCATGTCCACAAGTGCGTTAGTGGTAGTGCTACTTTCTAAGACGTCAATAAGGCAATACAAATTTTTGCATTGCTGTTACATATTGCAAATACTCCATGAGCTTATTCTGCTCATCCTTTATTCAGTGTTTGACACTGTCATTTTGCTGACTGAATGATTTAGAAAAAAGGCTTTTTAAGGTATTTCACTCTTTCTTGCAACATAGCCAGGCAATTTGGGAGAGAAGTCAGGTCTTGCTGAATTAGGTGTCTTGAGATTTTGTTGCAGGAAATCAAAGCACGTATTAAGCCTGCAAAGAATAATGCAGTTACGGTTTTAAAATTTCGTTTTCTTTAGGACTTGCATGTGACTGCAATCTACACGTTATCAAGCTGTGTGGGATGTACAGCTAAGAATCAGGAGGTCAGAGTGAGGGAGAGAAGATAACTTATACTTTGAAACTGCTGCACATATCGTGGTAGTATTTCCAAGAGTTGTGGAGAAATCTGTAATCTTACCCGTTGTTAGTTTTGGGGTTTTTTAAAGAAAAATGGGCCAGAAACTGAAATGATTATTATTCAGACATTGCTCTGGTGGTTTTTCCTAGAAGAGTAAGCTGCACTTCTAGGCACTGAGATGAAACAAATCGGGCTAGATACAGCTCTTGCTGATCTCACTAGTGAGTTGTTGAGTTTTCCATCAAGGATTCATGTCCTTTGAAGCCAGTCAGCTAAACCACAGCTCCTTCTGTCAGCAAGTGTAGCTGCCTTTCCTGTCCCTTTTATCTGTTGGATCCTGGACACAGGAGTGTTTTAGCTTGGCCACTGTATCCGTCCTCAGGAAACCTTGAAACTCTCCTGTATGCCTTAGGAAGTGACTCGCCTAGATCCATGTTTCCGTCGTTCCCCAGTACGGTCCAATGTTTTGGGTTTTTTTAATAAGGAAAATTTTCTTCATCGCTGCTTGCTGGCTGTTGTCCCTCAAAGCAGAGCAGGTTTTTGCTTGCTTGCAGCTGATGGCATATCTGCCACAATCCTGATGCCCCAGGTAGTAAGGGAAGTGCTGTTGTCCTGTACGTTACCTTGGTGTATTCATAGCTCTTGAAAGCCTCCCCTGTGAGGCCAGGCTGAGCGCTGGGATTGTTCAGCCTGGAGAAGGCTCTGGGGAGACCTTAGAGTGGCCTTCCAGTTCTGAAAGGGGGCTACAGGAAAGGTAGGGAAGGACTCTTGATCAGGGAGTCTGGTGATAGGGTGAGGGGGTAGTGGTTTAGAACTGGAAGAGGGGAGATTGGGATTAAACATTAGGAAGAAGGTCTTCCCTGGGAGGGGGGTGAGACACTGGCAGAGGTTGCCCAGAGCAGCTGTGGCTGCCCCCTCCCTGGCAGTGCTCAAGGCCAGGTTGGATGGGGCTTGGAGCAACCTGGTGTGGTGGAAGGTGTCCCTGCCCACGGCAGGGGGGTTGGAACTAGATGATCTTTAAGTCCTTTCCAACCCAAACCATTCTATGATTCTGTGAAAATTTCACGATGCCTAGTAACAAAAAACCCCATACACGCTGTTCTTCAAAGGATGAAAAGTACAGCTCCATTGTTGTTGTTTGGGTTTTTAAAGCTAGCCTCAGGATGGTATTGCATGGAATCCTTGCTTAGCACCTGGGGTTCTGTTATGTTAAAAGGCAGTTTCTGCTCCAGAGAATTTGTTGCAAGTGTCACGACATGACTGAGTGAAGCAAAAACTGATTGTGTTTAAAGAGGAATAACATACTAATTTTCAGTATAAGACACAGTACGGTAGAAGCACACTTGATAAGAGACCAAGATGCTATTAATTAAAAAAAAAAAAAGTGGTCAATATCTCTAGTATTTTTCCTGAGTAAAGAATAGATAATTCTGGACAATTCAAAAATTAAACAATTAGCTAGGTCATCCCAAGTTTAGAGATGACAGGAGAAAACTATACTTCCTGGACTCTTCTTAACTCTTAGTCTTCTATACCTAGGAAGCAGCATGTAACTAAATACATCTCCCTTTTCTTCTTTCTCTTGCTCTCTGGAATTGAACAGATCCTTTTTCTGCTACTGTTGATAGTGTTGATGATGCCATTCCAAACCTAAATCCTTTCCTTACAAAAACTAACGATGCTGCTCATCTGTCTGTGTCTTCTGATGTATCTACTTTCACCAGTAGGACACCCACACATGAAATGTTTGTTGGTAAAGTACCATTTTAAACTAATTTCCTATTTCCTAAAAAATTTAACATTATTTCAGTTTCTAAGGTATGTTTGTGGGGCCTTCCAGAAACTATAAGCTGATCATTTGGGGCTGATTTTGTGCTGTGTTAGAACTTGATTTAGTAATTGTACCATGAAAATGGTGTTGCAATCCTTGCTTGGCTACCTAAATGGGATTCTACCTGATGAAAAGCAGCTTAGTTATAGTTAAAGCGGTTGCTTGAGTGCGGTTTTGCACAAAGTCTCTTATGCGTAGGAACTTTAAGGTAGAACACTACATATGCCTGAGAACGAAAAGGAAGCCCTGCTACTTTGTTCCTCAGGTTGAAATGTTCTTGTTAAACAGAGGAGCTTGATCTAATTTTTTTGGCAGTGGGTGTTTTTCCCCCAGTTGCGTTGGCATTAACAGAACTGGTAAAGCCATGGTGCATGGCCTACTCAAACTGTTTACCTACTAGGCGATAAACTAATGACTCACCTTAAAACTGTTGAAATCTTATTTTGGAGGAGGTTCAGCATGGCTGTCATGTTAGAATCCTTCTCACATTTCTGTTGGTGCAGCTACAAGTAATTTGTTTACTTTTCGATATGAAGAATTAAGTTAGCTTTCACAGACTAAAAATCAATTGATGACATGTCAGTGCTGTTCTTAAGCAAAGCTAGGTTTTAAGACAATTGTGCTGCATCATGGGCTGTCTTTTTGCAGATTGAACCCTGCTAGAATTGATCACAGAAGAACCCAGACTCTTATAACAAAGAAATCTTTGATTCCTCTGATATTTGTTAACAGAGATAAAACAAAGGGATCTCTTTAGAGATCATTCGTACCGCCTCTGCTTTGTCACTTCAGCTAACTAGTTTCCTAGCTTGTCTTTGGTTAGTGGAGAGAGAAAGCAAGCAAGATCAAGCACAAGAACTCTTGCTGTGAATTCCCAGGGAGGATTAGTTGGCTGAGGCAGTAGCATACAAATACCTTTAGCTGGTCCTACTGTGTAATAATCTGGCCTGTGCTTCTAATTGGTCTTTCTCATGCTTCCAATAAAATGTGTGTGGCTCATGTGAATGTAGAATGTTCATTTGAAATACAGCTTTTTTTTTTTTTTGGTAGGGTTGTTATTCAATCAGATTGGTTTTCTCTGCATAATTTGTTCTGCAGTCGTACAAAAAGTTGCAGCAGTGCAGGGCTGTGAACAAGGAGCCTGGGGGGTTTTGTGGCACTCTCTGGTTTGTGTGGTATTTGTCACGCAACAGCCCTGAAGCTGCAGGAGATAGATGGCATTGGTGCATTGCATTCCCTTCCAATGTCTCATTCTCTCAAGATGTAGCTAGAACCAGAGCGTGACCTCCTGACAGACCAATATGTGAAATGTAAATGCATTTTTAGCTGTAGCACAAACAAGGTGCTATGACAATGTGAACGTGGATTTAAAATTACTGTTTCTGGTTCTTTAGATCGTTACAATCCATTTACTGAACTAAACCCTTTTGTGGCAACCAAATATGAATCCACTATTGGGCGGTATCCTTATACTTCAGGTATAAGAAAAATGCCTTGAAGCTTTTACACTCATTTCTTCCAAGGGTGTAAAACATGGCATTTGCTTGAAAAAAAGTATTGATCCCAATATAGCTGTAACTTTGAAACCATGCTTTCCCCTTTTGTGTTCTAGATAACGTAAACTTGTTTCTTACTGTATGTCTGTGTATTGATTTCATTCCGTTGGTTTGATGTTATTAGAGTACATGTGGATTTATAGACTGAATTAAATTTTTGTATAGCAGATAAACAGTTTATCTTGGTTCTCTTTCTGTAACTCTCCCTCTTCTCCTTTCCTGGCTTTCTCTCTTGTGTGATACGCCTTATCAGATTCTTTTTGTGGTCCTCAAGCTTACCCTAATGCTTCTCATTTCCGCAATGAGCCTTCTTCTGTAGCTGGTCTATTTGGAGGTAGGTAATGGGATACAGCCTTACCACAAACACAGAAATTCCAGTGTGTTGTGTGCCTAGAGCTAGTAGGTTTGTTACTGACTACGGAAGCGCATTGCTATAGTGGCTCCAACTTTTATTCACGTGCTTGCACTAGGTGTGTTGTCACAAATGATATATATTTTTTCAGTTTGTGCTAAACTAAGACTTATTTAGTCTAAATGTGAAATGAGTATCTCCCCATTTCAGGATCTCTTGTAGTTTACGTGTTGCTACATACCGCACAAGACTTGCATGTTATAACTATCTTCTCACCTTGCTCTACCTCATCGCTTTTAAGACAAAGAGATTGGGATGTTCTTGCTGCTTGTGCTATTTTTGTTGATACGTTGCTCTTAAACAGCTCACTGAACTAGTACAAAGCTTTGCAACGGAACATGAGAAAAAGGCATCTGCTTAATTAAATTCCTGGCTAATCATTTGTGCCGCTGTATGATGTCTGTATAGTAGCCCAGTACTGGTTCTGGAATACCATCCTGCCAGCTGCTAGTCGGGCTGTGCGCTGTGACACATGATCTCTAACCAGATCAAACAGAGTGTGAACATTGTTGCTATGCAAGGTTTAGGAAGACCTTCAATAAGTTGTTTGTGGAAGAGTTAGTTCTTAAAAGCACCATAAAGTTAAATTTTGGTTCGGTGTCCTTGAATAGAAATTAGCTAGAGTCATTTAACAAAAGGTTAAATACTGTGTATGACTCTGTTCCCTTTGTTCCATACCCAAAAAGCAGGATGATTAGTTTCTGTCAAGTCTTGTTGGTTTATTCCCTCGAAGGAACGGCATTCAAAATACTGACCTTTGCACCTTTCGAAACATCCATGTTAGACAAAATGCCCTGGGCTGGTGGTTGATACTGGGAGTAGGATTTGATGTTTTTCAGAGGCTGACTCAAAGGAGGCCTACGTATTATTTTGTCTTCTGGCTCGTCTCATCTAGTTAGCTTCATACAGCTTGAAACTTCCTAAAATGTGAGAGCAGGAAATGCAGCTCATCTCAGTTAAGGAGGTTTTCTAAGGAAAAATATGAGCTATTGTAAGTCAAGTTTTCTGTTGGTACAGGCAAGGCTTTAAGAGTTGCAGGACATCCCATCAAATGAATTCCTGTCCACAGCTGAGAATCTCTGAAATGGCTTGTTACAACTTGGTGGTATACTTGTCATAAAGATACTCATTTTATTTTCTTGTTTATTTACTCCCTATCTTTTCCCACATTACTGCTTCCCATGTTTTGCTGTATGCTGTTTTCTTTGGTTTGTGTTTAATGAAAAGTACATTGTTTAGATTCTTAGAGATGGATGCTTTTGAGTTGAGTTCTGTGTTTCTTTAAGACAAATAAGAAACAACAGGTAATCCACACTTCTGTGAAGTTTATGTTCAAGGGTAGCATCCTATAGTTCTTAATTTTTTAGGTGAAATATGATTTATTTCAGGAAGACAGTAAGATTGAAATGAGGTGCTGTCACAGCAAGCTAAATGAAATCCAAGAAGTATTCTTGGTCAGTTATTTACACTCACTGTGATGTTTTACTGCTTAAGTACTTGTGATCCTTTTCTTTTATTTCTCCATATCATCAAAATTTCTGTTAGAAACCAGAAGAGCTAGTTTTCAAGATGGCATTGCATTTTTTTTGTGCTTTCATATGAAGTTAATAGTTGCTTCTGTAATTGCCTAATTGTAAAGATAAGCACAGTTGTGTGCATGATCATATGTAACATTAAAAAATACAATTTTAGAAACAAATCAGCATTACTGAACTATCAACTTAATCTGCCAGATATCATACGCAATGTGTTGTACTGCAACAAAATTTTGCAGCATTGAAAAAATTGTGTATTTGGAGAACACTGCTTTACAAATACATAGGAGACAAGTGAAGTAAGTTCAGACAGGAACAGGAGGTTGAAACTTTGCTTTAACTCCCTGTACCTTGGCCATAATTACTAGAAACTTGCCTGCAAAGCATGATCACCTGCAAAATGTGTGTCCAAAGATAACTAAGCAAATGCTAAAAAAAAATTATTAGTATTAAGAGTGTCTAATTGAAGGCCCTTGGGAGGATTTGGATCTTACTTCAGTTGTATCTAAGAGAACTGCTCAATTAATATAAAACATGGAAGGAATAATCTTCAGGCAGGTAATCTTGAAACAGGTTCTGTACCCAGCCAGCTTCTTTTCCTGGAGAAGTTTGGTGATTATTTCCTCACTAATTTTATTGTAAGCATTTGGTAAGAGAATGTTGTGAATAGTTAGTTCAGAGGTTTAGCAACTGGGGGAGGAGGAGTGTCTCTTATGGTCTGCCTGTCCAGTTTTTTGAGACAAAACCTTTCTTTGGAGGCATAACTCCGAATAAACTTCAAATAAACTGCCAGCAGCTCTCTCTTACACGCTTCTCTGTGTCAGGGTGTAATCTGGACCTCTGAGGTACTTGCAGTGTTTCTGCAGTACTTAAATAATCTACATCTTTATTTGGTTTGTCTTGCATAAAGAAGGTAGATTCATGGGAAATGCTGTGTAAAAACATTGAACTCCTTTCTGTTTTCCCCCCAGGGTTCACGCCATCTCCTGTTGCTCAACCACAGCCATCAGCTGGCCTTAATGTTGACTTTGAGTCTGTGTTTGGGAACAAATCTTCTAATGTTGTCCTAGATTCTGGTGGTAAGACACTTACTAAAATAAATGATGTATGTCCTTTTTTTTTTATTCTTGAGGTATAAATCTCTTAATCTGTATTTACTTACACTGCTGTGGCAGTGTTCCAGCTGAAGAAGAGAAAGCTGACTTTAAATGGTCAATTTCATTCTGGCATTCTTCTCCCAGTTTTTCTTTATTAATCAAATAATTTTTCTGTACAGACTATTTCTACGTGCACCCTGCTGAAATGTTTGCATTGATTTCCTTCACTTAAATATTTTGTGCAGTAAAAGTTCACACAGTGAACAGCCTGCATTTTGACATGCTGTCAACTGAAATTAATGTCTGTAGTTGTAGAGTGTGGTCAGAAGATTAGTTAGATAAACTAGATAAAGTTGCATCTCAGTATCTGTGCAACACGTTTTTGGCACTTCTCTGCCTACATGTTACTCTTGCGATGTTAAGATAAATTATCAAAGCATACGTGGCCAATTTGGATTGTAGTTGTAGTTAGTACTCTCTTTTGAGTGTCTGCAAAGTAAATACTTTCTGGTCTTTTGACGTTGAACTCTTGACATCAAATTCTTTTTGGGCAAATCATTGATCCACTAAAAGCAAATGCATATGCACTTTTATAAGATTGAAATACTTTCAATATTTATTCTTTATTTTGTTTTACATTTTGATTGCTTTGCAGTCACTGTGAATCTGTTCCATGGCGGCCTGATGCCGCCTAGCTTAAACTAGTAAAGTGAAATTCCTTTCTGTAGAAAATATACTCTTTATCAAGAGGTGTAAGTTTTATCCTTCTTGTATAGTGTAGCATCACTAGGTTAGAATTTGTATTTTAGCCATTGTGCTGAACTTGCTGTCTATTTAACTGCATGTTGTGACATTCACAGGAGGCCTGTGATTCAAATCACTTTTCTGTTTCTCATTCCAAGGCTTTGATGAACTAGGTGGTCTCCTAAAACCAACAGTGGCCTCTCAAAACCAGAGTCTTCCGGTTGCCAAAGTACCACCTAACAAATTGGTGTCAGATGATCTGGATTCATCTTTAGCCAATCTTGTAGGCAGTGAGTATTGAACCACGAACATATGAATACTTACTTAATTCTGCTAAATGAATAGAATTTCAATAGTATCTTTTTCTAATTTGTGACAGACTTGGGCATTGGAAACGGAACTACTAAAAAGTGAGTATGCTTAATCAGAAGTTGAGCATTTTCATTTTCTTGTTAGTAAAATTTTATCAAAGTGCAGGTTCAAACCTGTGCGTAACAACATAGTGTTAACCTTCAGAGCAGGTTTGGGTTTGTACTTTGTTTCATACAAGGTAGAATGACTTGTTGAAAGCTGCTGGAAGGTCACTGTAGACTGAATGGTCGTGACAGTGATAACAGCAGGCGAGATGTCCTCCTGTCTCTGATTCCTTTCAGGCTTTATATATATTTAGGAAATGAGTTCATCAAAATGCTTTTTTGCAGTTGTAGGTAATTTTAGCACACCGTATAAATACTTTGTGTGATCTAAGTGTGTGTGGAGCTGCGTTAGAGACTGAAACAGCAACCTCCAACTTGTGGTTGACCTTTAAACAAGTGAATTTTGAAGCAGGGCGTATTCTACAATAGTGAACATCTGCTCTGGCAGCGAAGTTGAGAATGTGATTAGCAAATTTCAGGCTTATTGGTACTGTCTGTGCCAGCTCTGAAGTCGTTCCAACGTCTAGTATGCAGTTGCTCCTAACTAAACCTTCTTGACACAAGGAAAGGCAGCTAGACTGACTTACCTGTATTGGGGGACTCACCCGAGATGAGATAAAGCTGAGGTGGCTCACATTGACCATCTTACCTTAGTTCTCCTCACCAAAACAAGCTGTCATGAGACCTTTTATTCAATCCTTTGCTAAATGAGTTCCTTCAACAACAAAAGAAGCCATATTTCCGAGAGGAAACAGTTTTTACCTGAGGGAGTTTTGTAAGAAAATCCAATGTTTTCTAACAATTCTTTGAAAAATTTATTTGAAGCGATGTAAACTGGACTCAGCCAGGTGAAAAGAAACTAACAGGTGGTTCCAACTGGCAGCCCAAGATTGCACCTACAACTGCGTGGAATGCTCCGACGTTGGTAAGCAAATACTCATTTTGAAATAGTGAGTTCCCTGCAACTTAGGTATGCAGGCTTAGATAGCCACAAATTTGAAAGTGGTCTATAGTTGCAGGGAAAGGGTAGTAGAAAATGGAAGAAGTGGTCAGTTTGAGATGTGTACTGCTTGGATTTGTGTTTCTTAGCTGTGTGGTTCCAGTAAATAGTTTGTGATGTGACATGTGCAGGTTTAGCATAAATTTCAGTCGTGTCTGACCAGCCTCTCTCATGGCAAGACAGCAGCCTTCATGTTTCACTCAACTGACATAAAACTGTGAATTTGACGGGGGGTGGGGGTTGTGCACTTTGCAGTCTAGAAAAGTAGAAGTGTGAAAATGTGGTCTTCAGGTGCACTGGTACCTTACAACTCAGCCTGCTCTGGGGGAGAGAACAGGCTGAGAAATTAATGCTCTTGAGACTTGTGGAGGGCTCCGTGCACAGCGCAGGCTGTAGCTTTCTTCCTGTGCATCACTACTGCTTTCCTGCCCCGGTGTGTGCGATTCTTTTTAACGCATGTCAGTTCTAGTGGTCAGCTTCCTAGTGCCTGTTGTAGCAGGTAGTAGTGGCAGGAGGTAGAGTGAGGGCTCTGAATTACATGTAAAAAAAAAAAAAAAGGAGGTTAAGAGTTTGTGTGAGTAGTTCTCACAATGCTAACAGGACATTTTTGCATGTGAATCCTACTCACCCTTTCACTGCTGACCCAGAGAACTGTAGGTGGACAGACCAGGTAACAAATGGCCCCTCGGGATTTATTGTGTTTGACTCTGTAACTGACTGGGGGAGGCTGAATCCACGGTGTAGTGATACAGCATTGTGGATTTGGAAAGAGCGAGCTTGTCTCACTGGATCCACCACCTCTTCCCTACTGGGTGTCCCCTGTCAACTCACTACGTTCATGTAGGGAGAGATGTTCATGGAGCTTACTGGAGGGTGTGTAGGTATTGAAGAAACACCAACTGCTGACCTGCTTTAATGACTGGTGGTTTGAGTTTACTTGTGTGCTTGAATCTGTTTAATAACTCATGTCTTGTATATACATCTTCTTGTGATAAGTCATTTCATTTAACAGCTTTTATTATTTAGAGGTACTGTTGAGACACTTCTCTTCCTGTGAAACTGTTCTATTAACATAAAAATCTTGAAACAGAAATAATCCAGGGGGAAAAAAGTTTGTTTTCCTCTGCTGGTCTATTTATTGTGGAGTTGCTGCTGCTTGCTAAATAAATATGCTTTTGAAAATAAGGCTTTCTTGTCTTTGGAAAAAAGGCATATACCAAATAAATGGACTGTGCAAAACAATTACAAACCTATCATGACTATGTCTCAGTGAATGACTTGAATTACAAGAATGTGTTGGGGTAAACATTTAATGTATTTGTGAACTAAAATGCTATCTGTGTATATTCTGTTGTGTAAGTATTTGCTTCTAATCCAGTGTTATTGCATTATGTAATTGTTCTCCCTGGGAAATACAGAATGGCATGCATTTTCCACAATACGTAAGTGAAACAACCCACAGCCTTTTTGCAATCGACTGGCATGCTGATATTAACCACTGCTGTTGCAGAATCTCATAACCTTCTTGCTATTTACACATTTCTCATTTTAAAATCTTTGGTGTGCCCAAAATTGAGCTTTTCCTAGCATATACAAACTTCATAGGTGGTCTGCAGGCTCTTGACTCGAATGATGGCATGGGAAATACCAAGATTATTTTTCCTTGCTTTAAACTGTACCATTTGCTGCCAGAGAGCTGGGGTGTGTGTCTGTGCTGCCTTCAATGCACTTGGTGAATTTTGAATGAAGATAAAAATGTTTGTGTTTGAATAACTGCATGAAACCTCACAGGCTTCTGTTATACTTTGCACTTTATACACATCTATGGTAGATCTTGATTTTGTTTGTTTGTTTGTTTTTTGATGGGGAGAGACCAATATGTCGTTAATGCTCATATTAAAACAAAGAAAATCTGTGCTGACAGTTTACAAAGGGCAAGCAATAACCTGTGCTTGCTGTCTGAGGAATGCAGTCTTTAATTTCAAGGGTTTTTTTCTTTATGTCAACAGTGATATTGGTCTTTCCCTGTATTCTGTTTTTATTGCAGGGTAACTCTGTAACTAAAGGATTGTAGGTTGGTACTTGAGCGCTCAAAAATAAATTTAGTCAGCATGCTTGTATATGTGTAGGTGTGGATACACAAGCAAAACAGTGATTTTCAGGATAGCTTTGCCAGCTGTGTGAAATACATGGATAGTACACAGTCTGGGTAATTCTTGATTGAGGAAGCCTGTTCTGATGGCAATTGAAACGCCAGTGACACTGGCTACTGTCTATGAAAAGGCAGCTGATACCTTAGAACTAAATTCAGAAGCAGCTTTGCTGATGTCCTATTTTTGGTGTTACAATTGCCCACTTTAAATAATCCAGTATTACTAATATTTTGTCACTTCCCTCTTTCTGTATCAATAAACTCTGTGTACCAAGAAAGACCTATGGTCTTTATCTTGTCAGGAATAGTAATCCCCGCAGCAACAGCATGAAAATTAGAGGTTTGGTTTTTTTTTCTTAAAGGAGGGACTAAGAGGAGGTGCAGTGGATAGACAGCAAGTCATCTGAGTATTTATAGGCACCAGTTTATAGTCTAGGAAAAAAAATTGTCCTTGGAGGAGTTAATACTAATTTAGAAAGTAGATAATAACTGTTAAATAAAGAGTATGGTTAGGGTATGAAGAACCATCTTTAATATATTTTTCTTGCTAAGAGTTATCAGCTCGTTTTCTATGTATACGTTGCCAAGCTGGTTACAAAACATAGCTTCACCCCAGGTTTTGTCTCTTGACAGCAATTACTGTAATGTCATAGAAGTTAACTTAGGTTAAGGGTAAGATAAACGTATCTGCAAAGTACTAAGAGGACTTTTAACTTGTTCAGATTCATCGTACTAATTGGGTGAGTGAGAGGGAATGCAAGTTGGATATTCATGTTAGAGTTGAACTTAGATTGAAGCATGGTAGGAGAATCCCATAGTGGGTACATCCTGGCTAAAGACACAAGAATTCCTCTAATGTCGGCAGAAGCAATGGTAACTTGATCTTTCAGTCTTGAAAATTCTCTCTTGAGACTCCTTGTGTACCATTACTTGTGATTTTGAAATACAGGTATGTACTTTATGGGATTAAAAAAAAATGCTTCTGCTTCCTGAATATTTTCTCTCAAACTTCTGTCTCATACTGTGTTCCTTTAAACAGGATGCTGAGGGAATGGTAGCTTGCAGTTTAGTTTAGTTAGCCAGAATCAACAAGCTAAAAGCAATTATATAATCACAGATTTGGTGAGATCGCCTAGAAACTTTAGCTTAGGTATTGTATTCCATCTGAAATAATTTGGATACACAAGACTGCAAATCCTATTTATTCTTTGCGATGTTCATAATCAGTGAAGTGCTGCAGCTGACCCTTAGAAAGCTTACTGCCTTACCAGTGTGCAGCTGACCTCTTCTCCTCTCAGCTCACCCCTGTTTTTCACACCAGGCACCGCCGGTAATGGCGTATCCTGCCACAACGCCGACAGGAATGATGGGCTACGGGATGGTGAGTGGAGCTTCTGCAATTCAAGATGGTCAGATGCTGTATATGGTTTGATTGCTTTTATAGCTCGGTAGCAGGTTTTTTTCTGAACTACTTTACTGAAGGCTGAATTTCAGCTCCTATTGGTTTATTCTTCACCAAATCATTAAGTCCTGGTTTGCTGAACTACTTCGGTGGGGTTTTTTGGTCTGAAATTGTCTGCTCGCTCTTATCTCACTTAGTTTTTCATAAACTTTTTAAAAACTAAGTGTCACTTCTTGGTGGGCTTTAGTGGTGTAGAAATACGCGTATCGTGTGAGTATAGATAGCTGCATTCACAACAGGACTGTTCTATCTGTGAAGTGAAACCTTCTGTTAATACTTGCTCACAACCCCAGCAAAAGGTGTGTCTGTAAGGAGCGACGCTACAGAACTGTGAGTTTGTGACACTGCTGGGTGTTGTGGTGTCGGTTGAGAACTGAATGTTAATGACACACTAGTACTGGAAGAATTTTGACATAAACCTGACCTTGCTGCTTGGTGCTCTGAAAAGTTGTTCAAATTTTTGTTCTTATCTCAAATGCTAAAATATTTCTGAAATTATATGCCTTAACTCTTTATTAGTACGGGTTCGATGTAGCACACCTTCGCTGGGTGAATAAAATGAGAGAGAACTTCCTTAGAACAATTATTCTGTTAAATGGCTCACAGATTAGTAGAAGGAAAATAAGCTAAAAGTTCCATCATGTAATCAAATCAGATTAATGATTTAGGATTTGTATACGCTCAGGAAGTGAACTCCAAAAGTGGCAGCTGTGTTCTTGAGGGTCTTTTGGGACTGTCTTTTCTTGAGAGTCATGTTCCCTATTACCTATCCATGAACTCCTGTAGTATATATCCTGTGCAAAGTCGTCGTGGTTAAACTACCTTTAGTGTTGATTCAAACTTGATCTCCACAACTTTGCACTGATGGCACTGGAAGCATTTTCTTAGTTATTTTGATTCAGCAGCTGGGGAAGGTAACATACTGCATGTATGGAAAATCTTGCGTGTTTTGTAAGGCAGCTTTCATCGTGGGGTTTAAATGCCAATGTGAAATGGAGACTGGCATGAATAGGAGCCGTAGCTCTGTTATCCTGAGCTGCTGTTACTTGTTTGAAAGAGTGCAGTGTCTGAGCAGATGGGCGAGGTGGGCCCCTACAGTAGGACCAGCAGCTTTGTAGCACATCCTGAACACTGTCCTGCTCATTCAAACTTTACTCAGGACACTTACTGCTAGGAACCTCTGAGATGTCAGCCCATTTTACAACCCTTGTGTTTTAATTTTTCCTAAAAGCAGTAGTAGGTACCATAGTTCTGAGCATGGCCATTTCTAAGTGGCAGTCCAGTAGCAGGCTTTTCCCCTGGCGAGGGCATACTGGGACAGGCAGTTGTGTTAGTACCTTGACATTCCCTGGTTGCTTCATTGTGCCAGCAGTTATTTTTAACTTCTTTGTAGGGTGTTTTCATCAGGGTCAGTTTCTTGGATGGGTTCACCATGTGATTGCCTAAACAGCTGGTTGGCATGGTGGGAGGGGTACCAGGATTAGTCAAGGAAAAGCTGCTTGGAATGGGGATTGCTTCAGTAGGACTGCTGCTGGCTTTCCACCCAAGCCTGAGGGGAGTGCCAAAAGCAGTGCCAGAGATGGGCATCTATATGTAAAATAAATAAAACCTGACTTCTAAGACCATTAATATATGTTAAACTCTTAATTTGGCTCAGCCAGACTCAGTGACACTTTAGACTGATTGCACAATGACTTAACATTTATCGTACATACAGTTCTCGGTTTTCAATTTTTCTTGAACTCTATCAGCTCAGCATTGGTATCTGTAAAACTATTCTTGTGCTTTCAAAGGCAGACAGGGAAGTGTTGTCAGACCTCAGTTTTAGGAGCAAAAGGACCAGCGCAAATGTTTGTGCCTAAGCAAGTATTTTAATGTTTCAGATCTTTGCAGCAAGAGATTAAATGGCTCAGTTGTTATTAAGAGTATTCCTGGAAAAGGCTCTAATGTTCCTTTCTAGAAAGCTTTATTTGCGGAATAACGTAGAAGGATCTTACATGATTGCGTACGTCAAATATGACCAAGACTGTTCACCCATTTACCTTTCTCCTTGCCCTCCTTAAATACTTGCGATGTATTAATGCCATGTGTGATTTGATGTTGTCTGCATCTTTTTTAGCCGTCACAGATGGGAGGCATACCAGTAATGACACAGCCAACTATAATATACAGTCAGCCAGTCATGAGACCACCAAACCCTTTTGGCCCTGTACCAGGAGCACAGGTGTGTATATTCAGAATCGTTGGTGCTGGGTCAGTTTCTTTAGAAGTATTTTAATATTTCCTTGTGTTGTTTGAATGTGTTGCACAAGCCCAATAGTTCATGTAAGGTTTGCTTCCTAGCTTCCTATATCCAGGCTGGCATCAAGTTTATTTTAAAGAAGCAAAGAGGAGGGTGTTTTAGGGCATTGTTTTTCTGGGGATGTGTCCGAGATTATCCTCAATGCGTTAGTGAAAGGATAAGAGTAGTTAATGTCTGTGCTGTTGGCTGAGGACAGGCTTATTCCCCAAAGTTCATGTTCTCTGCTTTCCCTCCAAGTGTGGCTTTGAGACTGCGCTGTTGCAGCTCTTCCCTGCCTGTCTGCGGCACTGGTTTTTGACCTGTTACGCTGGAAAGTGTTAAGATTATAAACTAAACCTGGCAGCAGCTGTAAGCTTTTTTAGTAAGCTGAGTGCTTATGTGACAGTGTTTTGCAGGGGACAGACAGGGTGCGTGTAGCCTTTTAAGTCCGGTGGTTGTAGATGGGTTTGAAAAGGATGGGGTACTCTCCCAAGGTCCCTGTATTCCTCCACATTTTTGCAGAAGACAGTGTTTGCAGCATAGTGAAGGTGTTCACTAGCTACACCAGCCTGGCCTTTCCCTGTGAAGTGAGGTGTTCCTTACATTGCTGGCTTTTTTTGCTCCTCGTGATAATGTTGTCCATAGATTCATTACCTGACGTCCTGGGATAAAAGAGTGTGCTGAAGGGTTACTCTGAGCACTGAGAAGAACTGACTGTATCAATACTGGACTTAAGTATGCACCTTCTGTTCTTTGTTTTGCAAACTTTTGTCACTGGGAAGTTTCTGTCTGAACTCCCTTTAACCTGACAGCCCCTGAAGATGGGTTTTTGCAGTAGGAGGAACATTTAAAGAAGAACAGCGGCAAGCAGGGATGGACAGCTTTGAACACCTTCGTGCTGTTTTCAGAAAGCATTGAGATCGTTAAGACTTTGTTGTGTTTGTAAACTGTAGTCAGAGGCAGAGCCAAGTTTAGCTGGCAGATTGAAACTCCAGTATTAACATTTAGTAGTTAAATGTTCCTTTGTCAAAGTTCTCACTGTACGCCATGACTCTTAGAAAAATGGAATCTATTGGGGCTGTATTTTGAGCTTACTTATAACTAGCTCTGTCTTTAGGTGACTGTTTAAAAACATGCATGTATAACTTCACTTGGGTATACATTTGTATATGTGGTTTTGGGACTGAAGTGTGGAGGGAAAAGAATTCAGCAGTAGGTCGGAAGGGAAGAGAGCCTCAAACCTCTTCTGATGCCTGAATCCGATCCAGGAGAGGCTGTGCTGTGTGCTGCCAGTGGGCAGCATGTCCATTGTCTTCCTTAAAATAGAGCCTTGTGGATAACTTCTTTTAGTTATTTTTTTTGAAGGCTTTATCTGAAAGGGATGCTGTTAGATTTATTTAGCTAGAAATGCAGTTTTCGGTTCACTTTCTCTTGGACATCTGAGCACTGCTTTGCAAATTCGCTGTCACTTGAGAGGTGATTTGGTATCTTTCACATGGGATTTATGCTATTTCAAGGGGACAAAATGTTTATGACACTTCTTAAATACAGAGCAAGTTAAAGGATCCTGAAGGATAAGAGATGTTTTCTGCAATTCCCAAAACATTGATTTTTCAAATGTCCCTATTTAAAAAAATTTTAAAAAAAATCTTCCCACCTGCCTGATTCAGTTATAAACAGGTAGGTAGATGTGAATAGCTAGGTGAGCCTTTCTGCTTCATTTGACGTTGCAGGGCTTGGTCTAGGTTGAATCCCAGCGGGCTGTCATAACAGGAGAAAGTCACACAACTTAGTCACAAGTGGGGTGTGTAGAGCTCTATTTACTGCGCTTACCTGACAACGCATTTGGCTTCTGTGAGAATTAATTTGACAGAAAACACACCCTTTGAACTGGCGTTTGCCATGTGACCAGGAAGGGTTTTTCCCTGAGACGCACAGTCTGCGTTGCTTGCAGTTACTGGGTTTTCAGCAGTCTGACATCGGTGAAGCAACTTAAACGAAACTCAAACTGCGTGCGAGAGCCGCTTCCCCGTGTGCGGCAGAGATGGCGATTGCAAACACGCGGCCACAGAGGGGAATTGTGATGATATTACGCTGAACTTACAGTATGCTTGGTCATGAGGCCCTTCTGAGAGCACGCGTGTCTGTTTAGGTTTAGTCCATGCTCCTTCTTGTGCTAGAAATAGAAATGAGAAAATAAAGAATTAAAAATGTGTGTTCTTGGGGTAAGCAAACAAACCTTAAAAGGATGAATAATGCTTGTCTGAAAGGCACACGCTTCAAGCTGCTGACATCCAACGTGGGTTGCTCTAAATGCTGTTATTCTAATACACGTTTTGTCCACAGTGTCATCACTGCCAAAACCTAAATTGTTTTTAATGTTTATGTTTAAAGCACTAGATTATATCACTTCGCTCTAGTCTGCAAGTAGATTTTTTGGTTGCTGTCGCTTTGGAGGTACGTAAAAGCGTAATGACAGATACAAAGTTGTTGCTGAAAAATTGTATTGCCTAGTTGTAGCGTGTTGGGAGCTCCTGCTTTGTGTACTGACTGGTAAAATAGGCATCACAGGATTGTCCAGGTTCTTTATCATTCAAACTGGTATCCCTGCTTGATTTCTCTTAATCAATATATACCTTTCCTACCGCTAGATGTACCTGTTTTGTCTCTTTCAACTGTGCTGTTCACCTGCATGCAATTCTACCCTTGCTTTTGAGAGCAACAGTTAGAAATAATCTGGGGTTTTCTTTAAGGGCAAAATAATTTGAAACAATTAGGAATGAGACTATAACAATTGCTCTTTGAAAATCTAGGTGCAGAAGATATTTGTAGTGTTAAAAGAAACTGATGTGTACCTTTTTTCTTTGAAACCACTTATTGTGCACTAGGGTCAGTATTTTCCACTTGAGAAAGAAAATAATGGTTTTCAGCATGCTAGAATGGCAGGCTTTCTTCCTGCAAAATGTTACATCCTGCTACCCAGAACAGTGACAACGGTTGGAGTTGTTTGATTAAATTTTAGCTGGTGGTGAGGTAGAGTGTGTATGAGGAAGGGACAGGCTGAATCAGTGGTCTAAACAAGGTGAAAGAGTAGCCAGAGCGATGGCGGACGTGGTACAGTGCAGCAAACACAGAATGTTTCAGACAAGCCAGATCTGAATGATGTACAGTTAACTGGAGTATAACGACCCATTGTGAGACCGGAGTGTCGTAATCCACAACAGCAGTGCTTGGATGCTCACCACCACCAAAACATTACTGTGTTGGCCAACGTAAAATCGTACAATACTGACAAATCAGTGGTTGCTTCAAGTGTTACATATTCTGGTCTGATCAACCCCAAAAGGACATAGCCTTAGGAGGAGAAGCATCTGGGTAGTGAGAATTTAAAGATTTAAAATAGAATAAAGAAATTATTTGGCCTACTGCCTGCATCTGTGTGAATTGTAGCACTGCAGTTGTTAACATCACTGGATTGTACAGAAAAAGTAGTGGCAGTGATTGCCTGGTGATGATGAAGGGTAGGTAAATGCGCGGATGAGCAAGTTGGTTTTGTGGGTGGTTTTGTTTTCGTTTTGTTTTGGTGGTCTGGGGTGTTTCTTTTGAAACTGGAAGAACGGGTATGAAATTCAGGACAGACTTAGGCCAGACTTTACAGGTGCTCCTTTTGGCACATTAATCCCAACATAGATGCTAAAACAGTGTGACAGACTTGTTTAATGAGAAACTGGTATCTAGCTAATGATGGGAAACAGCACAACACTCACTTGTGGATGTGTTCTTCTGCGCTACTGTGACTCTGGGGAGTTTTTGTCTTGGTTGGAAGCGGCGAGAAGCAGTGACTGCCGTTGGAGGTGAGACTAAGCTTTGGGTCTGATCCAGCACAGTACACTGCATTTCAGATCACATGAGCACGGGGCAGTAAGGAGGGTAAATCCACAGTTCTAGACGTGTTAGCACTGGAGAAACTGATGGCCAGGGCTGTTGTTTTAAATGCTTCTCCTTAGAAGCTGCCAAGGTAGGTTCCATTTTTCAGATATAAGCAGTATTCTGGATAGATGCAGTGTAGAAAACTGTCTAACTATACTTTCCACATTTTTTTAGGCCTCCTTTTTTAATAATTAGAAGAATCTCATTGAAATATATATTTACTGTAAGGTACTGTGTCTCATCTGAATTTGGCTGTGGCACCTAGGAAGTAGCATTGTCAAGTTTTTTCCCAGTGTTTAACCAGAACAGGCTCCCTGAAATTTCACCTCTGTTCCCGGTTACGTGCTGATGTGGCACCAATGACAGAGCTTTAAGCCTACCAGTCTTCCACACTGCTTTCAAACTGGGACATTACTTTGGGCTTTATCAATTGGAGATCTGGCAGCTCAATTTAACAGGACTTTCGCTATGTCACTTCAAGCCATTTGACAGTGAAGAGGAAGAATGTCTCATGAAATCAAGTTGCAGCAGGCATGCCTTGCTGAAGTTATTTATGACTGTGTTGGACTTTATCATTAGTCTGGCTCAAATCCTGGAGAGTGGTGGGGTGTGAGCTACAGCTTTCCAAAGGGAAGAACCAACTTTAAAAGGGGAGCTTCTGACATCCTGAAACTGCTTCTCAAGCACTTCCCATTCTGTCTCATGACTTTTCCATAATCTGTTTATGGGGACTGGATTCGAGTGTCCCAGATGGACTCCAACCCAGATAGAGAGTACTGATCCTGAAAGAACTTCTCATGTGGTTTGAGATAAATATTAACGTGAAAAATCTAAATTTGCAATGGCAATATTTACACTGTGGGCGTTTCTGCAGGCAGTCCCCATAAGCACAATCCCTGTCATGCGTAGGTTGGCAGGCAGTCAGCATTTCCCAAGGAAATACGCCTTCATACGGTGTGTTCTGCAGTGAGTATGAAGTGCAAGTGTGCACCGGTGATTAGTGACTCAGTTATGAGTAAACTGTTAAAGTGATGGAACCTGAAAGGGGGAAGGCTGACTTTTGCTTGTAGCTGCAAAAACATGCAAGCTCTATGAGGGAGGAGGGCAAACAGAATTTAATGAAGCACCATTTATAACTGGGAAAGTACTAACAGAGAAGGAAAAGGGAAGGAAAACAAAAACCCAACAAAAAACCAAACCAAACCAAAAAAAACCCCAAATCGACAAATGGTAGATACTGCTGCTCTTACAGCTTGCAGAGTCGTTGTCACTCGCAGAAGCAGCCAGAATGCCAATATTACCTGCTTGTGAATAGTGTGCTTATATGGCTGAATTTGCAGTGGGGTGCTTGAAATACACGGCTATAGGATGTGATTTTTGTTGGTATAGATGCTATAGAACACCGGTCTCAGTCTTCAGTTCTCACCTAAAATGGCAGCAGTTGACAAACATCTTTTTTTTTTTTCCTACCCCCAGAATACATCCTGTGTGCTCATTCTAGGCCCCATATTGACAATTACCTGTTGTCTGCTCTCCACCTTCTTTTTATACACATCCTATTTTGAGAGGGAAAGATGCTGAGAGCTGTTTCTTCTGGAAAGCTGCCACACTCTGGCCAGAACCCCAGTCTCATCTCTCCCTGCCAGGATGTAGTTTTGCCAGTGAAGTGGGGAGAGCGCTAATCTGTTTCACAGGAGTGTCCAGCTTAACGTTTTGTGTCAGCCTTTGAAGAGAACTGCTGAGAAAGTGCAGGGTTATCTGCTTGTTTGGCAAAGGCCAACTGAAGTTTCCTTTCTTGGAGGGTCATGTCCAGCTTGTTTCTGCATTACACCAACCATTGCAGAGGCTTTCTGTTTTCCATATGACCAACCACCTTGTTTTAACAGTTAATTTCTGCCAAGTTTGCCTCTTAACCTCCCCTTGTCCTTTCATTACACGTTCAGCTTTCATATTCTGTCATTCTGAGACCTTTTTTCTTTTTCTTTCCCTTTCTCTGTCGTTTTTCCTACTAGCTGTCTGCAGCATCCAGCCCTTCCAGTCAGAGTCCTCACAGAGCCTCAGGAAAGGATCCCTTTGCAGAGCTCTCTCTCCAGGATTTCTTGTAGAACAACTTAGGTATTGTCCACTGTTCCGGGGAGGTGCTGGTTTTTGTGATAGAAAACAAATTTGAAGTTCTAATTCGAGTTTTATTGACATGACGAGAACTGTTTCTGGAGAAAATGAAAGCAGGTCTTGTTGAGTTGGAAGCATTGTGGAAGTGACTTGGAAACCCGGTAAACTTAACTGGAGCAGCTAAAAGGCCCAATCAAGTCATTTTGGTTCAGTCCATTGGAGATAAAGTTTGATGATTCCCTGCTGACCTGCGGGAGCCAGCCCACAGGGTACTTGCTGCAGTTAGGGAGGAGGAGCTGGTAGTGCCTGGTCCTTCCCATTGCACCAGGAAAACAGGTCGGGTTCGTGGTGAGCAGTGAGCACTGCCTGCTGCTGGCGGTCTGCGCCTGCGCCTCGCCAGATCGCTTGACCAGCACGCTCCCTTTCTGCAGGAGGCAGCGCTCGTGTCACGTGTGCGAGGGTGAAATTTTGGTACGGGTGTGCACTGGAGTTGGTTTTTCTCAATGGGGCAGGTGGGGATTAGATACTAAAATGAGTGAAAACATGAAAAAAAGCACAAATACATAGCGTAAAGAAAGTGTAGGCTTATTGCACCCAGCCTCTGCTTTTTTTTGTGCACTTCCTCTGGTTCAGCATGAAAAATGACCTTGAGTTGTCTTCATAATGCTGTTGATTTGTGACACTGCCACTGGTGACAATATTGCATGGGTAAGTCGGGGGTTTTATTGTTGGACAAGCCAGCTTAATGCAGAGAGTCGTTCCGAAAGCTGGAGTAGTTGGAAAAACATCCTGAGGGCTTTTGGTTGTTTTCTGGTCCCGATTCTGTGAAATTCTTATTTGTGTTCAGAACTTCAGCTCTTGGGGTAACTTGGGCATTTGAAGAACAGAAATGTTTGAAGAAAACAGGTTTGTAGTGAAGTCCTCCTTCTGTTGGATGTTAACACGAGGATTTCTAATCTTTCCAGATTCAGTTCATGTAACTGGGTTAGATGGAAGAGAAAGGAACGTTTCCAGAAAGATGTGCTCACCAGTAAACCCCCACTTCCAGGCAAAGATGAACTTCAGTCTCTCAAACTCTCCTCTTCCATTAAATGATGAAGACCGATGAAGGAACCTGGAGCAACTCCGTAAGAAAACATCAATATGCGATAAAAGCCAAGACTTGCCATGAATTAAAACCAAGATCTGTTTATTGTCCTGGTGACTAACAGCTTCTAATAATATCTGTAGTCGGTAACGTACGAGGAGAAGCCTTTATTCTGGAAATTGAGGTTGGTGTTTGGAAATGCTGTCTGGAGTGGAGAGGTGTCCTTTACCGTAACTCAAACCAAGACTTCGGGCAGGGGAGGGTCAAATCCTAACTCTTAATTCTGCAGTTACCTTTTCTTCAGTCCTCACAGATGTAGGCACAGCAGTAATGGAAATTAACTTTTTTTTAAAAACTATGTATTCAGTTTGCAGTAGACATTCCTTATGTATTATTGTTTGTATTTATTTATGATTATCAATTTAACATTAATATTGTATCAAAAAAAACTCCTTATGAAAATGAGTATGGATGTATACAGTATGTCTGATTTTTATCCACAAAGAATGAATCTGATTCAGAATGCTTTCCAGCTGACATACAGAGCACTAAATATTTTAAAGGTCTGAATCTAATGAATTCTCAGTGTATGTGGGAATTAGGGAAGAGCTGTAAAACGCGTTAATCCTTATAGTCAATTCTGTGCCTAGGATTGTGCAAGGGAACAGTTAACTGACTAGAAGAAGCACTACACTTTTAATTCAGCATTAGTGCATTGGGAAGGAACTTTATTGCTTTGTGCTTGGCATGTCATTATTTTTACATTTGACATTATAAGGCCTTTCCAAAATGAATGTGAGGAATTGCTTTCACTTTAAGACTTTCCTTCTTTTCTGTAAAAAAAACAAACAGGTGGTGGGGTCGGGGTGGGGGGAAGTCTTTCATTTGGCTAGTGCCATGTTTATGATCCTGTACCTTTTAAAAGCAAAAAGGGGGAAGTAGCTCCTTACGTAGGTCTAGTGGGCGTTTAGTTAACGAAGCATTAAAGTAGCACTGTTGATCGGTGCTTTGTGTAAATACAGCTTAACTTCTGGGTGGAGTGGGGCCTTCAGAAGGATAGTCAATGATATGAAAGCAATTCTGTACATGAATTAAGCATACTTGCTGCATTGTCTCTGCAGATTCTATTTTTGTTTAAAATATTAAAATGTATGTTAGCAAAAATGGGTGGATTTTCAAATAAAATGCAGCTTCCACAGAACTTTTGTTACGGTATGAAAGTCTGAGGTGCTTCTTTTCTTTTTGCTGCTTCAAATGTGCACTGATAATTGCTTTGTTTACTTAATAAAATACCAAATATATTTCATATGTGCATATTGTATTGCAGGAGGTGCAGCAGGATGAATTCTGTGAATGACATGACCTGTACAGAACCTTTCCGGTGGTGCTGCCTGTGGTGGTTGGCCTTAGACAACTCCTTGTAGTGGAACTCAGGAGCTGGATTCCCTGCTTGACAGAATATTTCACGATCTTCTAGTTTTCAAAATATTCATGGCAATAAACTTGTACTGAGCAGGAAGCATAAATCTGCCCCAAAAAGTTATTTATTAGCAGAAGGTAATGCTGGAGAAACTTTTGAACAGTTTGCAGCTGTCATCTGCAATTAGATTCTCGTTTTCATTGCAGGGAGGTTTGCTAGAAGTGGAAATTTCCTCTCTTCAACTACCTGAGCCTTGTCCTGCAGAGTGTACATCAGGAACTGATCAGTACAGAGCAGTAGAGTTAAAATTTCTTCTAAAAGCATGAGAAGAGAATCCCGAACCTGCTGTTGGTAGAGCATATGATGCCCATGCCCAGATCTGGGGCTTCATACACACTTCGCTTAAATCTTTACCTTCCTGCAGCTGAGGCTTTCAGCGTGGGGCTGCCCCACCAGAGACCACCTTCTTTGTAGTTTTTGCTTCCACTCAGAATATCAAAAATATGAATTGTCTGACTCGGGGGTCAGCTGGACAGAAGGGGTGTGTTTGTCTCCTGTTCACTAGATCGGCGATGCCCAGGGTGCAGTGTTCTGAAACACGCTCCAGCGCTTGTGTGAAAGATGAAGGTAGATCCTCCTCCTCCTCCTCCATAGCCCCATGGGCTGCGTTAGGATAAAGCCAACACCAGCCATGTCACCTCTTTAGGTCTGTGATGCTCTCTGCACAGCCGTTTCTGTCTGCCTGAGGACAGATCTGCTTTCTTTGCCTTGCTAATAAACCTTGCCTTTGGTTTACCCTTCAGAGACAAACTGGCTTGAGAATTTCCCTGAGAATTATTTTCCCATTTACATTGTTCCTAATAAGTACATTTACTCTCAGTGTTGCTGGAATAACACTCAGTTGTGGCTTAATTTAAAAAGCATAGCTCATAAATGTGTTTCTTTTGAATTGCTGGCCATTTTCAGTCATGGGGGGTTGTGAAAATCTGGCTCTCTTCAAAATTGGCTTCCGAGGCTATTTAACCTAGAAGAGCAAGCTCCGTCCAGGAAAGCTGCCTGCTCTTAGCAAGTAGTGGAGGAGGTGGTGCTTTGGGGAGGGATGTGGTTCCTTGTAGAGCTTTGTGAAGGGAACAAGTGTGTCAGAATTGTCACGATATTGTAATTATTTTTTTAAATCAGAATTAAATAATTAACTAGATTTATCTCTCAAGACAATTACTTTTGCCAAGATAAGAACCTGAACAGCCAGCAACTTCAGTTTTCTAGAAGCCCAAATGTAGAACCTGTATCTGAAGACAAACCTAAATTCGTTTGCTGCTTCTGTTGAGTCAGACAAAACCGAACTGCTGTGTGCAGTAAACCGGCACGGACTGCAGTACCTCAGGTAATGTTTAAAAACTGTCTCTGCAGGACTTCACATGAGATCAGATGGTCTCTTCAACCAGCTGCTGGAATAGGTCACAGCCCTTAAGGGACAGGGTGAAACCCTGCATCTGTTATTGGACAAAAAGTGTCGGTTTTCAGAGCACGGTATCAATTTTGTAGGGCGATTAAATGAATTGCAACTCGAAGGCCATGACATAATTGAGAGGAAGATTGTGGCAGAAAAGTGAGAATTAGGTGCCAAAACCACTGGGAAAGCTAAGGAGTGTTGATGGGAGCGGAAGACTGACAAGATAATGTGAGGGGCTGTGAAAAAACATGCTGAATACCACAGAAAAGTCGATGCTAATGGGAGCGCATGTAAACTAAGTAAGAGCTTCCTCCGTGGCCTGTTGGCAATCTCCTGCCTTGACCTTTGCAGCTCGCTCACTCGGCCGTGGAGAGAGCAGGAACGGGCTTGACATCTCTTGCTGAATTTGCCCAGCAAGAAAACTCTGAGTCACTGATGTTTTTCCATGTTCAGCCTGGAGAAGGAAGGGGCTTGGCTGATGGGTCCGCAACGTCCCAGCTGGAGCAGGAGAGTGAGCGAGGAGGAGGGAGCCCCGTGCAGGTTCCCCTGACGGTGTGACGTGTCCGCCACCCGCTTGGCGCCCTCTTGTAGCGGGAGGCTGAGTAAACGCTGTGTCCCTTCCACTCGTGGGGCATGGCTTGCCCGAGACAACAAATCAGCCTGGGCGTTGAGCAAAACACATTTCTTATTTTTTTGCTTCCTTCTCTGCTGATGAAATTTCCTGAGGCCAAGATCAAAAGGCCTTGGAACAGGCAGCCAGCTTCCTTTAAAAGTTCTGTTGTGTGAGCTGATCACGGTACCAAAAATGGTTGGAGGCAGGCGTGTCCGGCAGCTGCGGCACACGAGGAGAGCTGAGGTCTGGGTTGGTTCCCTGTGGTAACTGCTGAGCTTCCCCCTGCCAGCTACAGCAATTGCCCGAGTATTCTTTCCTCTAAAAAGCAGTGTTTGATGTGATTTTAGCCTCTTGCTGCACTTTAATCACTAGAAGTGAGGAAAAGATCCAGCACCATGTCAAATCCCAGTTTTCCACGGCTCGGTGGAGATGTTCCAGGGGCCACGTATGGGAACAGTTGTTGGCATCTTGTTCCCGCGTCGTGTCCTAAAACAACACGGTGCTTGTGGTCATCTGCAGAACAGGAGCTCCCACGTGTAGCATTACAGGGAAACATCCTCACTTCTCCTGTGGACTTGAAATCCCAGGGAAAGACTTTTTCAGAGGAACATCCAGCTGCAAAACATCAGTGGCTTAAGGCGCTAATACCACCAGATTCTCTGTTCCTTGCTTGTCGCTATAGCGTAACTTCAGTCCATTAGCTTCTGCCTTGACCTTATTCTGGCGAACTCCTGTTAGCCCCCAGGAGCAGAGCGCTTAACAACTTCTCTCTCAGAAAGGAGCCAAACGAGAACAAATGCTGCAGAACAAGTCTCCCACCCGCATTTCCCCAAAGACGCAGGTCTGAACCTGTGGAAAGGTGCCTTGTTACAGAAGCCAGCTGCAGCGGAGGCTGCAGCCCTCTCGGCAGTTCCATAACTCTTGTTTCCCGCAGTGCAGGCTGGAGGCAGGGCGCTCTTGCACAGGCCCCCTGTAAAGCGATAGAATCCCGTTGCTTGTCTCTACAGGGAGACTGGTGAGAGGGCTCAGCCCGGCGGTGTGCTGAGGCCAGCAGCTCCTTTCACCCCGGCAGAGGGTACAGGCTAGCGGCGCGCTCCACCCCGCGCCGTGGTGCTCTCAGGCGTTCGCTGGATTGACCTTTCCCGGTTGCAGCACACGGACTTCAGTTCTAGCGAACTGGCTTTTATTGCCGCCCGCTTACAGGCAGCTTGGGTGACGCTCCTGTTTCTTTAACTTTGGATTTCCAGTGAACGCTTGTGAGGTTTTCTTCCTGTTGAAACTGCGTTTCTGGGAGTTGCGTGCCAGTGGAATACCTGACTGCCCCTCAGCCGAGGCTTTGCTTGGATGGTGGTTGTGGGGACACGTGGACACTTCGCTGCATCTTGCAGCCTGAGTAGTGTCGTGTAGTTGTCTTGCACAACAACACCGTAAATCAAAGGTATTTTGTAACACTGGGAACTTAAGGGCGACTCCTCTGTGTGTTTTGTCCGATCTCGAGTAGCGAACCCTGGCTGCCGTTGTGAGGTAGGAGTTGGGAGCGTTGGCCGTGCTGCCAGCAAACGGCAGTCGATCCCGCAATGCGGTGCTCGTTTCTGAGAGATTTTGCCAGTAACAAATTTATCAAATGCAGAGGCCTCGTTTGCTGAAGACCTCGCTTTCTCCGTATAAAAGCCTCACGCTGGCCGGGGGGAGGAGTCTGCGGTGCTGCAAACATTACCAGCTCACGGGTATGGATCCCTGTTCTCTCAGCACTCGAGGGCTAGAAGTGACCTCAGTCTTTGCATAACTCCGCTGGGTTGAGCAGGGACACGTCCGAACTCATTTAACTGTGCACTCCATGGCCATGTGAGAGATTCGGTGAAGAATCCTACCTTTCCATCTGCTTGTGAGCCTGGTTTCTGAGGAGCTGCAGTCAGTGGAGCCCCAAGAACAGCTTGACTCA